GATCAACAACACTCCGTTGAGTCAACCAGGCTAAACGCTCTGCTTACTCACACTTGAATGAACTTAAACCTGCAGGAGCACCGCTACGTTGTAGCTTTTGCGCTAGAGGAAACTGAAATATATGAGATCGTTTACCAAAGCAACTTAAAATAGGTAAGAAAGTGTTAAACTAAACCTCGACGGACACAAAAATGTAATCACTCATTCAGCGGATCCAATGAAAAGAGCTTTGTTGGACCGGCCGACTCAACAGTCCGGGAACTAAAAAATTCCACACTTAACCTATTGTCCTGTTTTGCATCAAAAATAGAAGAACAATTTGGGCGAACGACAAAGCTTCGATTTTTGAGGAATTTTTGAAGATAAACATTGACAAATATCACTTGAAATAAGCCGCAATAAGTAGTGTCAGGCTAGTTTATAAATATCTTGGAACATGCCGTTTGCTAAGTTGCTTCAAGTGAAAACGAATGAAAAAGGCAAAAAAACATTTTCGGATTTTTGATCAGTCTAGTTAAACTAGTTTTAAACTTGTTAGCACAAACCAAATAACTGAAAACAGAAAACGTCCCATTAATGGCCCAATAAACACCTTAGAAGATAAAAAATATGCATGTACAGAACCATCAATTAGTATTTCCTGATAACAGTGTGCTAGTATGTGACTAGCCCAACATTAACTAATGAGATCTGCTTGTGTGCGGTTGATCATTAGAATGGTTGATGCGGCCTAGCCGATCTCTGACACCAGTCACTCGAAAGCACTTTTCAGTAGATTGCGCCGGCAGGCATTGTTGGCGACAGTCAACTAATTCCGAAGCCAGCTACGAGGCAAACAGTAAGAGGTAGCCCTACGCGAGTGCAATGTAATCAGGGTTGGAAACAATGACTACGTGGTGATCCCAGTGACAGTTTGACAGTCGATTCCGACGATGTCCTTCGTGTGTCCCAGAGGTGCAAGGACGGCTACTAAGGCGCTAACTAATTTGTGGTACTTGTAGACTTTCACACCAACTACCACACTCCTTACCCATTCAGACTCGATGTCAAAAAGACTGGTCGCTGGATAGGGCGCAGTGAATGAAAGAACGAAGCATCTACACTAAGCGTGCCACATTGGCCAGGTCCAGTTTTCCTAGTAACCATATCTACCCTCGGCACCATGTTGTGACGGTTAGACAACCTGACGACGACAACGACGTGTTTAGAAACCCCGAAGACGTTTATAGGGTTATGCTGTAGCCTTGTGTAGCATTTCTTCATGGAGACCGGCACAAGGGCGTTCGAGGCCAAGCATCAGGAGATTCCCCCAACGTTCGCGTAATTATGCTATCCGTCATGATACCAGTATCGACAAAAGACTGATGGAATTCAGCACAAGTGATGTACTATCCGGAAAATTACTATCCAACAGACCTAGCACTTCATCAGGTTCCTCCAAAAAGACTAGGAGTCTCATGCTTTAAAGTATCAAACCAGTCATTATGGGCATCGAAGTAAAGTAGGATGCACATTTTAGTTTATAGCTAGTCTCCTGGTTACCGTAGGCCAGTGTTGTTGGCACAGGCTGTGCTAGCTCATTCAAGCAAATCACTACTTTCTCACATGCCAAAAATCTAAACGGCTAGTTCAGGGTTAAACGCAAGTTAATGCTCTTTTGTCGATGAGACAACATGTGAATTAGTGAGTCGGAGCAAAAGTATGACCAAGTAAAAAATGTCAAAAAAGAGTAGGCAACTGCAGAATATACATAATATAAATATTTTAGCTGCAAACACATGCTGAAATGGCAAAACAAGAAAAGGATAAGAGTTACTCACCATCGCAGCCATGACTACAGCAAAATATGCGAGTTAAGCGCAATAAGTAGTAACGATTAAAACAACACTTCCGATTCAACTTTTTATTAAAAGAGAATTGTCCAGGCGAGCAGTAAAATATAGCAACTGCTCCCCGTAACTTCAAAAATCAAACACAAGAAATAAGGAAATGACCATTTTATATCGATACGTTTGCGTCAGCCGGACATGACACAAACTCAGCCACAAAGACGTAAATTTACGTCTCTGGTTTTGGTGTTGATTGAACATGATGTGCGGGCTGTGGACTCATTAACTTGTTAAGTTTTTATTTCTGGTAGGACTGGCGTCTCCGGGTTTGGCCTGAGGCCTGGGAATGCAATGATAGTATCACTTTTAATCCATCGGCATTAATTTGAAGATCAAGTTCGTTGTTCATGTACCGAAACATTTATTTTGAATGGTCGGGACATTTGTAGATAACCACGAAATCTGATATTCCATTCTCACGTGTTCCATAAAAAGGAGAATAGGATTGT